TTAGTAATTTTTTTTTAAGCAAATAGTACTGCACATTTTCTTAGCTTTTAATTAATTCATAGTATATTGTTAGTATGTTAATCTAATATCTAATATTTTATAACAGTAAAAAAAAAAAAATAAAAAAAAATACCTAAAAAATATTAAAAAGGAACCAATAATTAAACTAAAAATAAATAATTATAAATAGTTTTATGCATTTTAATAAATTATTAAAATTTTTTAAAATTGAAATGGCTCTTATTCAGTCAATTTTGAATTTAGAACCACAACTGACACATCAAAATTATTTTAAATAAATAGGCCTATCTGAATATGGTTTGGAAAATAGGTGTTACCAATTAAAAAAAACATATTTTACTGCGCAGGCACATACCGAAATTATGAAATTATACAACTTTCAAAGTTATCTATAAATGTATGTTTATAAACCACTAGATTGTAAAAAAAAATTAATTTTATTTCGAAGTAATCCGGCCCCGAAATGCAGTTTTCCTTAAATTGGTGATGACACAATATATTGATTTTTCTTATCTAAGACTTCAACTTGTTTACTGTTGAATCGTTACAATATTATGTATGAATATGTACAGAAGATCACATTTTTATCTGCCGATTATTTTTCTTATCTGTTATTAATGTTACAAAAATGTCCATCGACAAAATTACAACTCCAATATCTCTATCGCTTTGTTTGTAAGTCAGGTGTATTGGAAATATTTTCAAAACATACCTTTCACAAATTACTTACCTTTAAGTGGAAATATAAAATGTTGTACAACTAATTAAAGTTATTCCCAGTCATTGTACAAAGTTAGGTAAAATGATCACTAAGCATGTATAAAGCATGGCTTTATGGCCTCACATTAATAAAATGTTATGATTGGTAATTATAGAAATTAGGTTGATATAATAGAAGATAAATTGTTTGATCCATTGGTAACAAACAACAACAAGTTATCACGTATGATACGTTTAGACTATGGTCGAAACAAAAATTACTGCTACCGAACGAATTTGTCCGCAGATTTACTACACATTCGGCTGCACCGTGTAGATTATTCGTTCATGTTCGCTTCTAAGTATTACTAAGTATGGTTTTCACTGATAGTACTGCTCTAGAAGAGAACTTTGCCAAAATTCCATTTATTGTAATCAGTTTACCAAATACACTGGTTCATTCGGTAGTATACGCTCTCGTTCGCTCGCGTTTGAATCGAATCTAAATGCAGCTGTAGATACAAAACAACTTTGATATACCTTTTAATATCAAAATATTTTTCGAATTTACCAGAAATTTTTTATTTTTAGTCACTGAAAATTTTTAGTTTTTGGTCAATATTATTAGATATCGAGTCAACTAAATCTAGTAGTAATGTCTGTATCTGCAAAGGCAACAGAGACAAAATTAAAATTTTATGGGTTAGTATTAAAATAACATCAAAACCTCAACATATTTTTACTCGTCAAAAACAAATAACCAATGACTTGCGAGTGTAACTATATATCGATCAATGATAGCAAATCCCTTTTTAGATAAATCGAAACGCGTAAAACTTAAAGTTGACTTGAATGTGAGAGAAAACTATTTTTGTACAATATTTGAGTTACAAAATGTCTGACAAGGTAATATATGATCCAGACAACAATATTAAAAATCAATAATAGTACCGATAAATAGGATTTTAACTTGTGTAATTCTCTCAAAAATTTGATTGTCAATCCTCTGGGTATAGAACAATATGGTTTATGTTGATGAGAACAATTAGAAAAGTAGCAAAAAATAAAAATATTTACGATATAGATTAGCGTATACAGTTGTTACAGTATAAACCGCATATATTTGCAATTACGAACCTTAGATGATTTTTAAAGTGTAGTAGATAAACACGATCAATAAATTCAATCACAAATCACGGGATGGGTGATCAGAGTTAATCATGTCCATTCCAAAAACCCAATCTGCCACATTAAAAAAATTAATTCAGTCGTTTATTGTCTTTCGTTTATGTACATTGTACAAAATCGTTCTTTTTCACTGATATTTTGATGAAGAATAATAATTAGAAAATATGCATTTAAATAACTTTAATAATTTAAGTATGTTATTTTTTATGAGACGAGTTAAAAAACACGTTTTATGCTAATCGTACTCAATAATTCAGGTAGAATTTTATATCCATATTCAGGTATGGAATTTACATACTATCAATTATGATCAACATAAAATCCTTTTTTAAATATTTCAGTGTAATAGTGTTCGGAGTTATAAGGTGTATTATTAGTACGCTTATTGGGTTAACTTAACGTGTTATAATATTTTATAATTTTAAATCATTGGTAGTTTACCTTTTTCTAGCTGTCTAATAGACGGAAAGTCACGGAAGTTCACAACAGAGTAATTGGAAAAAAAATGATTATAACCAAGTGTATACCTATATTCAGTATACTATTTAATATTAAAATTTACAATATAAGATGCTGCAAGTTCTGTGTAAAATAACAGTAAGCAATTAAATTTAATAAAATAACAAATGCAACTTAATTGTACATTTACAATATTTCTCGAAAAAAGAGTGAAGTTGATATTGTATTCTTCTTACATAATAAACTTTCAAAAATATACCGTTATGCTCTACAGTGCACGCATATCGAATGTTATTGCGTAAACATTGAAAGGTATTTCTTCTTTAGAAAATCGGATTATGTAAAATTGGTTCTTTTGATTAAATAAAAAAAAAAAAAAGGAAATAAAGACTAGAAAAAAAATACACAAACAATAATAATTAAAACTTTCTTTGACACCATAAAAACTTTGTGTTTAAAATTAATTATAGGAACTAAATTATTGCAGCAGTGGTCACAGTTATTATAATTGTAACTATAGAAATCTTTCGAGACACTCAATAATTCAATAATGTACATTATTTATGTAAATCAATTTAAACTTCGATTTTTTTTTACAATATTTAAAATCTGATAAGATAAAGAAGAAAATTCTATTAATTTGTGTATATATATTTTCATTGTTTCTTCATCGCATTCGAAGTAGATAAAAATATATTTTGTTTGGAATTTAATTTAAATAATATAAACTTTGTCTTAAATTTAGCGTTTAAATACTTGGATGGCCGAAAATAATAAAAATGAAAAAGAAAGTAAAAAAAAAATAAGTAAAATAATTTGTGTAAGGGATTAAGCAATATAAAATTAATCTTATTATGATTGGCTCGTCCAATGAGATATCCATATGTAAAATATTACACCTCTAAAGTATCAACTAGATAATATTTTCTATCAGAAGCCTTTCATGATTGTGATGAACTTAGAAATCTTAACTTCTGGTCGAAATCATATAGGTACAGAAATAACAAAAAAAAAATTATCTTCTATCACTTAAAACTTTTTGGCATCTTATAATAGCTATAAAAAAATTTTTTTTTAAATATTTATATAAAATGTCCAAGTATTAAGTATATTAAAATTAGAAGATATATGATTTCTAAAGTATTAAAATATTGTAGATTTTTGTTATTAATGTCGTTTTATTAAAATTTAACACTCCAATGTTCATAATATTTTTTTATTGAAATTACACTAAATTTAATTTTAACTATGTTTTTATAAATAATATACATCAGTTATATATATGTATGAATTAATTTTTTAAATTTTTAAATTTTATATCAAGCCTAAATTATTAAATAACTGCTACTATTTGAAAACAGCTAAAATAAACATGTTATTTTTAAATAACTATAAATTACTTAAAAACGAGAAAATTATTTTATATTAAATACCTATAGCAAACGATGGTCTAATAAGCATACAGTGAAATTTTTCAGTTTCAGTGTTTTAGTTTTTGAGTTTAATGAAATAAAGTAAAGTCGATTTTGTTGAAAATTAGTTGTTGTAAATTTAGCCGTATTGTTTTTCAATTATTTGGAAATTGTCTGAAAAATTATAAAAATTAGCTATTTCAAATTACCAATTAGTTACTAGGTAAAGGTAGATACTTATTTTTAACTTCCTATTCGGTAATGATCGGAGCCTCTTTTGGCTGAAATTGTGAACACAAAACCAGTACATTCTTCATTTTACTCAAAATTAAAATAATGAAAATGTATATAAAACTATCTGCCTCATTGTATATTTTATCTAAGAATAGAAATATCTAAGAAAAAAAATTATTTTTTTACTATCGTAAAATTTAAAAAAAAATTAACTATAATATACATAATATATACACATAAGTTGGTGCATAATTATTTTGAGATTTTATTAGGTAAAAAGGGATCAGGGCGCAATCGTGTTATAAATTTTTTTCGTAATCGTGTTGTAATTAGTCGGGTCAAAAAAGAAAAAGTTGCGTAATCGTGTTGCACAGATGAAATATAATGTATTACAATCAGGGCCGCATTTAGAGAGGGGGCACTGGCAACAACTGCCCTGGGTGCCAGTTTTTTGGGGGCATCAAAATTTTGTGGTCGAAAATTTGCTCACTTGTGAATTATTGAACTTTTAAAATTATTTTGAAATTATTATTTTTTTTGCTTTTAATAGCAGTATCATAAATTAATGTTATTGCATTTAATTTATTAATATATATTATTAGTATATTTATAACAATTATTAATGTATTTATAGCAATATAGATATTATTGATTCAGAATATTATTAATATACCTAATATTAGTTCCCAAATTTGTTGTTATCACGTGTGGCGTGCCTACTACACAAAAATAGCATCGATTATAGAATATCTAAAAAGTTCACGGAGATCTATCTCCTATATTTTCCGTGGGTATACTCCTTAGAGGAACACCATTTTTTTTTTTTTTGCGCCGAGGCGCAAAATGTCTAAATACGGCACTAATTACAATAGATGGACGAATGCAAACGATTGTGATTACTTATCACAGTTGTTCTTACTCGTATAGATTAAACTTGCAGTTGACTTTGATATTCTATATTATATTAATCAGTTTTATTTTTCATAGAGGAAGCAGAACCCGAAGAACCAGAACCCACGAGCAACGCATACGGAAGACGAAGAAGCAGAGCCGTACTATACCAACTATCCGGGCACTACAAAAGTGATAAACCGAAAACCGGCAAGTTAAAACTAAACAATGTAAGTTATATTTGATGTTCGGCACCTTAAATTTACAGCATTAAACATGGTCAGGGGTTGATTGTCTTTGAAACTATATTATTTAAGTTTTAGATTTAATTTTTCAATTATTCCATTGTATTATAATATCTAAACACCAAACATTATATAAGTAATATTCGTCTTATTTTACAGTGCCTTATCTTAACAATGTACTAGAAATTGAATAAATTATAGTCTTTATTTTAAGCTTGATATCGGTAGTTATTTGATAGTCAAAGTAATACTGATTTTTGTTTTTTAAATCTAGAGTTTAAGTTATAACTACATCACAAGCTTCCCTAAAAGTATTCAAAATTAAGCACATATAACACGTGTGTTGTACTTACATTAGAAGCAAAATTATAAGTCCACATACATATGCTCGATCGTATAAGTCAGATTAGGACTGTGCGATTATTTTTTCCCTGGAATAATCGATTATTTAAATAATATTTGATTATAATCGAATAATCGAATAATAAAATGATCGAACAATCGAATAATCTAATAATCGTATTTTAATCGATTAATCGAATAATCATAATTTAATTTAGAATCGAATAATCTTACCATGAAGTTATTTAATAATAGTAATAATTAAATAATTATCCTGATTTAAAAGTTTTATTAAATAAAAAAAATATAACAAATAAAATAACATTATCTTGTGTACAAAAAATAACTGTTTACCTTAAAATTCAGTTTTGAGTCTTGACTTAAATCTAAAATTAATATTATACATATTTAAAAAGCTGGTTTTACTATATTATCTTTATTCGCGCATAGAAAAATTAGCTGGCTTGCATGTTCATTTTTTACCGACGATCTAGTCAGTTAATACACAGCCATCTTTACTAAAAATGCGTTCAGACGCAACGCTTATATAGCTTAAATAGCTTGAACAGTCATAACTTTTTTTGCTGAAATGAACATAATAGGGTAAATCGTTTTGTTTAAGTTCCACCAATCTAGTGGATCTTGTTCAAAGCCAATTATTGGATTATTTAAGTATAAGTCCTATTCATTTTTTACTTTTTGGCTAAGCGGAACTTCCTAAAATAATATAATTAAAATGTATTAAACATAAATTGAAAAATTTACATTCAGATTCTTACTTGGAAATTATCAGTATGATTATTTTCAGGAGAGCAAAAAATGAGTGACAGTCTAGTTTTTATTTTTTTTTTGTGACACCTGTTGATTATGAATATTGTAAACATAGCTGTCACCTTCGGTACTCTTGTACGCAGCTTCACAAAATTCACCAATGGTTTCCTTTAAAACCGATAAATCGTCATACTGAATGTGTTCGAAAAACAAAAAATAAATAATAAAAAGCTAATGGGGAGGGGGGGATTTGACCCCCACGTCCCCCCTTGTATACGCCACTGAAAGTGGTGGGTCTTTTGAACATAAGACTTACAGTTATTGTAACTCGTTGTAATGTATTGTATGAATATTGGCACTTTGATCCTTTTGAGAAGGCTGATGATCTTGTTGGCTGGTGACTTCTCCTTATATGTTTCTTTGTACAAAAAACGGAAGAACAGAGAGGGCGTAACTACTAATTTCCCAAGATATATAAATGTGGTATAGTCATATTATTTGATATATCTGGAAACACGGAATCAATAGATATATTGATCCTTGCCGCGTATGAAAATGTTTTCAATACCGTCCAGTTTAGATCTCTGTAGTAAACAAAAGTGGAGAAAGTGTGGGTAGTGGACACCGGTGGCAATATAAGTGGTACTTTATGTGGTCCTCGGTGTTGTAGTATTTCTAATTTGCTCTGGTGAATTATTTCTTTATTAGTGTTGATTTTGGTCTGTTAGTTTTTTACGGTATTTTGATATTTTATAGTTATTACATTGTGTATTATTTGTTGATATAAATTAATTTATTAATTTTATAGATTGATTTAATATGGGACGGTATGTTTGGTTAAGCTTATTCCTCCGTGAGTGACATCTATATTGATTGCTATACCGTGTTCGTTTATCAGTGCAGTTTTTCGCGCCGACCACGGGAGGTGCCGTGTAAGTATGATTAACCGGTTTTAATGAGACACTAGATAGCGAAAGCTATACGTTTTGTCTCGTTACAGTTTGAAGTCCAACAGTCCGTAGTGAAAGTAAAAAAAACTGGCACTTTTAATTATGTTTCCTATAATGGAACGTGTATCAGTATACATAGAGGGAATTTGGGATTGGCTAAGTGTTTTTCAGCTTGGGATCTTGTAGTTAGGATTTAATACATTCACAAATAGTTTAAATCCCTCTTTTTTAACTAAACTGTACGGCATCATATTTGTTGCAATAAAATAGGCCAGTGCATTATCAATTTTGATTTTTGAAATTTTATTCAGAATAAATTGTGTCATTTTCATTTGTCTAGTTATACTTGAGCTTGTCTCTTGAACAGTGGCAATTGAGGTGTCAGTAGCAGAAGACTGAGATATACTCGAGTACGATTGATTAAGTTCTGGTTTTTTGTTTTGAAGTAGAAGGTTGTGATAATAACAAATTTGATTCAACAATATCAGACCTAACAAAACATAATAAAGCTGTGTATGGATATTTTGACATTATTTACTTGAATTCAAATTTTAAACTGTCATTAATATTATTCACATTTAATTAACATTTAAATATGTAATAAACTGATTTTCTTTAATAACTTTAATTTTTATATGAGTAAACAACTCTTCGATAACTCAAAAAATAATGTTCAAATAGCAGTACATAGTTAAATGATTGCAATTATTTAAATAATTAAAATTTTTCATATAAATCTTGAATTGAAACTATTAATATCAAATCTAATAATATCGTCGTCTCAATATCGTATACTAAATAATAAGAATCTAATAATAATCTCTGTTTTAAAATTTTTATAATAAAATATTTTAAACATATATATATATATATATATATATATATATATATATAATACGATTAATATATTTTATATACCTATAGAGAGTAAAGAGTACAATTTTTTAACAGGTACATTTTCTTATGGGAAATAAAATTTGAAAATTAAAAATATTTAAAAATAATTATTAATTTTTAATTGGGGATCAGTAATCATTATTATCTATTTTATTTTAGATTCTGGTTGAAACGAGAAAAATATTGATTTTAACATGATGTGTTTTTTATTTAATTTATTTTCCTATATTATAAGAGTATTTATTAAATTTTTAAACAATTTTGTTTATACATTTTTAATATTTTTTTATTGTTAAATTAAAATTTATAAATTAAAAATGAATCAATTCCATACATTTGAAACATTTTATTTTATCAACTATTTTTTTAGTAAAATTCAAAACTTTAAACTGTTGTAAAAATATTCTTAACAAAATTTGTATATAAGTACGTACTTTAAATCTTAATATATTAGAATTATAGAATATATTTTCATTACATTCTACGAGTACATCATTATAACTCATAAGATTTTATTTACTCATCTTCGCTTAGAGAAACCCCTTGGTCTAACGCGCTACTAGACAATCCCTTACGAGTCCGATCAAGTTCAATATATTTTGATCTGTGTTTATATTTTAAATGGTTCCATATATTTGTTGCGCTTAATCCGGGATTCACATACCGCTTATTATATAACATACAGATTACCTTAAGAGCATCATCGTCTTTCTTAAACACTTGCCATATCTCACTCATATTGGTAGTTCTATCAAAAACAAAAATAAATAGTTACATTCATACATTTAGGTCAATTAATGACATACAATTTATTACTACTATGAATTAATAATTAATATAATATTATTTTAATAATGAACAGGGCTGTTCTTCAATTTTTTGAAGCCGGGGCAAAAATTGTTTTCGTAATAGGTACTTAAAAAGAGTTAAAAAAAATTAAATAATTTTAGTTAATTTCTAATAATTTCTTATAATCTTATAAAACTGTGAGTAAATTATTTAAATAAAACTATTTTATTAGATAATTTATAAAATGAGTTTTAACTATACAAAGTAGGTACTTACTTTCGTTTTTCCGTAATCTGTGAATTTAAATTAAATGCAATTCCGCATGGCGATTGTAATAGATTTGTACCCAAATAGTGTTTACCGAGCGACCTCCGTGTAAACAATAAGAAAATATTACGAATGACGGAAATACGAAATGAACAATAATTATTCAATAACCATTGCTAAATATAAACAAAAACGAAATCCAAATACACCGTTTAAATGAAGATGTTTCATTAAATAATGACAAATAAAAACGGATATATTACATATAACAAAGATAAAAATAAATCGAAAATTGCCATGTTTTCATTATAATTCATTTAATATTAAATTTTTTTCTTCGATTATTCGATTATTCGGTTATTCGATTATTCAATTATTTGATTATTTTCGGATATTTCAATTAATAATCGATTAATCGATATAAATCGATTAAAATATTCGATTAATACAATTAATCGTATAGCCGTAAGTCAGATCTAAGTAATGTGATATCAAGTTTGGTAAGTTGAAATTTAAAATGCTGCATTATTATGTGTACGTAACGGGTTTGTAGCTAAACGTTTTAACTCATTTCGGGAAAATTTCGTAGAAGTTATGTTTCATTATCTTTTTACATCCATAATGACTGTACATTAATTATTTTAGTAAAGTCGACTAGGCATTTTACATTTATTTCGTTAACCGAACACATTTTTAGTGTACGTTCGTTTATTTTTAAATTGCTACCCGTTTCCAAGCACATGACGTATCCATACATCCGTTTGGTTTTCATCACTTTTTTATAAGATAACTATGGTTTACGAAATTGGATAAACGATTCCCTGAGGAGAATTTATTGTGCAACATAAAATTTATATATATTCATATGATTACAAATGGTTGCTAGGCTACATCGCACGACCCATATCCATATGCTTTTTCGTCCCATTTTTCTGATATGACAGTTGTAATTTTTTTTAGGCGTACACA